ATTATTATTATTTATATATTTTAATTTTTTTTAAAAAAATTTTTTTTTTTTTTTTTTTTTTTTTTTGGGCAGTCATTCTGATAAAAGTTGCTGTTTCCATCTTCTTCCTCAGCAGATTCTGATGTCCCACACCAAATTTATTTTACATGATCAAAATGGTGCTGATTAATTATAACAAAAAGATGCTTTCAATAATCCAAACTTTTTGTGAAAATTATGTTCTAAATTATTAAAAGATTGGTTGAAAAATTCATACGTTTTAAGTATTTTTTTTATTCTTTGCCTAAAAAGATTAAGAAATTCTACCAATGTACCTACTGTACCTGTACATGCTTGAACAAGTTCAACAAGGGAACTCAGAGGACTGTCTAATGGAGGTGCACCATTATTTCAAATGTTTTACTATACGCCTTTAACAGCTGCCATTGAATCCAGTGTTAAACAACAGACTGTATGAGAAAAGATACAACAGTAAGTGCCGGCTCAGCCTCTCTGGCCCATAATTACACTGTTGATGCTTGATCACATCTTTTCTTTGAGCTGTTAACAGAAACAGTGGGAGTTAAAAGAACATAGTAGTTATGCAAACACTGTTTTGAATGAGTGATGTGTGATTAAGCAGCAGGGCCTCAGAATTTTACATTGTGGTGTGTATTGCTTGAGAAAAAAAAAAAAAAAAAAAAAAAAGCTCTGGATGTAGCCAGTGAGGTTTTCTTGCGGAGTGCCTGTGTTGGTATAAATAGATAGCCAATTTGTAAAATCGTCCGCCTGAACATAAGCATCTTGGGCCACTCTAATTGGTCAATTTCCCGCCTGTATTGAGTGCCTAGATTGATTTATTGCCTTTTTTAAAAGGCCGTGGGGACTCGCGGAACAGCTGTGCCAGCCGTCCGTGCCGGAACTGTTATGAAAACAAGAGGCTGAGTGCTGAGCGTCGGACAGCAGTCATGGCAGAAAGCAGCGGGTAGGATGAAGCAGAGCGGCATGGCAGACAGCTGGCAGAGACAGCGTCTTCTGTCTGGCATCACTGGAGATGCAAGATTTATTTCAGCAAACACCGCTGAGTGGAGAAGGCCCTGCCCTGGTGGCAATCGCTCCTTTCCTCCCCAAAACACCCTGGCAGGAATTTTCCTGATTGCCGCAATGCTTTAATCATCGGAGGGCTTGTATGATTGTAGCCAGAGCACAGAGATTTTTCATGTCATGATATCCCCCGTCCACTTGACATGGAGAGGGCGGATTCGAGTGCTCTAATTCTCGGGGCTTGAGTGATAGCTTCCCAACCTGAGCGCATCTCGGCTGAATCCAGCTGTTTGTGAGCAATCACAATGATTTACTCTCCCGCATCGTGCATTTGGCTGAAACAGTTCCATCACACGCGAAAATTAGAATAACACATCTATCAATCTGTGCACGTGTGACCTGTCGGAGCATTTCTGTTTGTTTTATGAGTTCCTGTCAGACTGTGCCTCACTGTTTACAAGTGCATAAAAGAAGACGTCTCGCACCGCAAAGAAATCTTCCGTGTTCGTGCAAAAGCCCTGTCTTAAGGATAACAACCTCTGTGACTCATGGCATGTTTTGCGTGACACAAGAATGGAAAATGCTTGACAAACTATGTAATTTGTGCCGTGCAAATGAGGAACATACCTTCTTAAATAGGGGCATGTCTGTACCACTGGTTGCAACAGTTTAGGTCTTGTTTGAAACTTTGCTTAAATCATTTCTCCTTACGTACGTGTAAATTATGCGTGTCCACGAAAATGCACCAATCAGAATTTTGTGGCAGATTTCTGCACTCCATTTTTTATAAAGCTTTGTTCTAGAGCTTTTAGGTCATTTGGAGTTCAGGTTAAGAGTTACAAGGCAGTAAATAAAACTTCATTTAAACAACAAAGGTTAGTATCGACAATTTAGTGACTAGAGTGCTTTATTTAACAAAAAAAATAAAAACAAAATTGTGACAAATCTGGCCACTTTTCTGGTGTTATTGGAAACTGTTGGAACATGAGATCAACTATCATCAGTAGTCCCTCTTAGCTAAAATTAGATTTCTTTGTATCCACATTACAGATAAATTGTGTATTTGCAAAGCTGCAAGTGACTGATGCTCTTACAGACAAGGCATAATGAAAATGTGAAATTATTTTGTCTGAACTAAGTCATTCCATTGTTTTTGTCTCTCTTTTTTTGCCTCTATCTTGTCAGTTTAGATTGTTTACCAAAGGTTGCACATTTTGTAGTGGACCATGAAGCTTACAAACCAAAACCAACTTAATAAAAGTTAACTTACAAGCTAATAAATTATTAATTAATATTACATTTCATCTTAAATAACTAAGGAATGCATAATAGTCTTTCTTTGGGGTCTGTTTTGCCTGTCCCAAGCCAAGACAAAAGAGGAGGCTAGGAGTTGTGGCAAAAAATATAAAATGTTTGACAAAAGTCAAGTTTGTTGTTCTAAACACATAAAATGTTTTCATTCACTTTTTCCTCCCCCATGATGTCATCCCTATTTCCTACTGTATCCATTGCAATTATGTACATGTCTAATTATCCAGATTTAGCCAGTTCCATTATTCTGCAACTTCTGCAGGCAGTCAATATGTTCTTTCCTTACAAATGCGTTTGCAACGGAGGTCCTGAGTGGGTCCGTACTTATTTATGTTTGGAACAAAGCCAATGTCATGGTTCAGATCTGAGAAACCAACTTTATTTCTAAAACAAGACTTCAGAAATATTTTAAAGCAATGGGAGTTTAGCATCTTAGGTTAGTGCCGCTAGCATGGCTAGCATTGCAAAAGTTTGTGTATTCCTAAAGAATGTAGACCTTTACCTTTACTCTAAAATTTCAACAAATGAAAAAAAAAACTCCCACAATTTAGCATGTTGCATAACCAAGGTCAAAAACATCCAAAAAGAAATGAGTGAAAGCAACATCACTTTTGTCATTGTTGTTTTTGACAGCACATCATAGTTATACTTACAAATAGCTCTTTAACTTTTTGTGTTTCTGGTCATCGCTATTCAAGCTAAAAATTGTCAGTCCGGTCACCAGCCCAGAGTGACAGAAATGTTTGTGTATTTCTATCATTGTGGTTTACTTCCTCGTGAATTTAATTTATAAGGTGGAAAAAAAAATCACCCTTGTCTGTGCAACACTGCAACATGCCTTGTGATATCTGAGAAATTTCACACCAAACCGAAGCATCTGCTAAGCAGTGAGAACTCTAGCCCATCCACTATCTTTGATTCCTCTGTAAAAAGGGAGCGCACATAGCTAAGTGTCTTCTTTCTGAGCTGCAATTCTTAGAAATTCCTTTATTTAGCACTGGGGATTGGGAGCGTGAGTTCTTCACATTGCATCCGAATGCACACTCCGAGTCCTCCACTGAAGGAGAAATGGGGGGAAAAAAAAAAAGGAGAAAAACCAAGAAAATGTGTACACATGAGGAAAGTGTGTAAAAGAAAGAATGAAAAGAGGGAGACGGAGAGGGAAAGAGTAATCGTATAGTGTCTATCTAGTACTTAACTTAAGGAAATATGAGTCTGGTTGAAGATGAAAGAGACTTAATCTCAAATGCCTCAAATGCCTCTCTCCTCTCCTATTTCTCCTCTCAGTGCCTGCTGTCCACTGGGACTGGCCCATTCTACAACGTTGGAGTGCATTATGTAATCCCCTCCAAGTCTGCACACCCTGCAGTAATGGTTTAATTAGGGGAGGGGAAGAAGGCATAATGGCATCCCACCTGCATCACTCTAAAACACTCACCAAAGCAGTCCGTAGTCCACTACTTGTGACCTATGGTTTTTGTAATTTTTGGGCCGTCAACTTTTAAGGTTGCTTGATCCAAGAGGAAATGTAGAGTGAACAGGGATTGTACCTCATGCAGCCTTTGGCCTCAACCTACTAATTCCTCTTCCCCATAACAGACTCCCCACCCCACCCAGTCCCCTGCCAGCCAGCCAGCCAGTGCGGGCGTGCTCAGTCTGTCAACACTTCCTCAGCACTTGGAGTGTTTGAATGGAAACATGAGGAACAACACAGGCTTGGTCAGAGCTGCCCTCAGAAACAGGGTTAAATGAGGCTATAGAGTATGACGTAACTGGGCTCGCTGCACTCAGTGCTTTTACTACCTGACTGAACTTTAATACACATTTACTTCCATTCCAGTGAATGTTTTCTAATGGTTAAGAAAGACTGTTTGTACTTAAAACACTGCAGGTTTACTCTAGACACTCGGTGATTCTTATTGCATAAGAAGCATGATGATAGTAGTAACAAGGTATTACAAACTGTTGCTTTTAATTCCAAACAGCAAAGCTGGACTTTATTTCGGAGTAAGTTTAAAATGGCTTTGACCTTTATTCTTCAGGGTTTTGAAGACTCTCTTGGGTTCTTCATAGGGTTGTTTACGTCTAGGTGTTAGTGATGCAGCAATAATTCGCTACTTCGCTCATAGGTATGATATGAGATGGTTGCTTAATGACAACCTGAAGTCAACAATGAAATGTCTTTATTTAACACAAGAAAGAAAACAAAAGTGTTTTATTTTCATGTGATACATAGATGCAGTTTTGAAAATATAATAGTTTTTTTTTTCTTTTTTTATGTGAAGATTGTTAATCGGCCTATGGTCTATGTGTACTCAGCAGCTTGGTTTAAGTATTCACATTTTATCTTTAGTAGTTTTAAAAGAAAAAGAAAATTTGTCAAACCATTCTATTCATTTATTTGTAAATTAAAATAAAAATACCGTCCAATTTTCAGCTAACTTGAGGCTGATTTCTTGCACACTCCTTGAAAATAGGGTTAGAACACCATAGGGAAAGTTGAATTGTTCTCTATAAAAGTGACCGTATCAGACAGAGTAAAACATGTAGATTTGGTAAGACACTGTCAAAACAAACATTGAGGTTATTTTCGTCTTCAATTGCATAACTTAAGGTACCAGACACAGACATGGATACGATCATTTGAGTGCCTAGAGAAGTGAAGCGGTGTCGTTTGACTGACTGCCCGGAGTTTGGCTCCCGCTGTGCTCATCTTCTGCTGTGGGAAAAAAAAAAAAAAAAAAAACAGCCTTACACAAGTTTATTTTGGTTGCATCGTTCACCTGTTTTTCTCTTGTCTACATGTCTGCATTCTGTGATGAGAAAGGGGTGTGAGCCTCTTTTACAGTGGCTGTCACAGAATGTCACGAGAGACAGGTTGTGAAAGTCCGCCAAACTCAAATTTCACCCTTAAAAAGTTATTTCTAATTTTCTCTTAACTTTTGTACATTAAAACAGCGATCTTGGAGTTGTCAGGTCATGAGTAAACAGTGGGAAAGTTGTGAAGAAGAAGAAGAAATCCTTAAGAAATCCTGTTTTCCTCAAACTGGTTAGAGCTGATTAGAAGATGGGTGGAGCTTAATCTGCAAGAGACTTGAGACTCCAGCAAAACTATATCTTCCAACAGGACAACAGTCCTAAACATACAGCCAGAGCTACAATGGAATTGCTCAGATTAGGGCTTCCCAATATATTGCAAATATATTGTCACCACAAGTTTGTGCAATATTCAGATTGGAAGGAACTGTTTGGTGTGCAATAACTGTTAGCCTGTAAATTCTATGAGTTTTGAAGATGCATTTCTCACACTAACTAGCAGAACAGAGTCTCACAGTAGCAACATTTGACACTATACCCACATGACATTGTCAAACCTGCTAACGGTCACATAGAGGGGAAAGTACAGATTAGCAAAACAGGACAGAAGACAATCGGCATATGTAACACTTATCATCATCACAATATTTACCAATATTATTGCAATAGACCGCTAATAACTTACAACCCTATTTCTATGCAAATATGTTTTTATTAGTCTAACAAATAAAATGTCAATGAATACTTTGACGTTTTCTTGTAAAATGACAATTTGTAACATCGTGTGTTTAGGTGATGCTGTTTCAGCCTATAGGTTTGCACTCCCTGTCACTGGTCTGCACACATCCCAGGGGGGCTGAATCGAATTAAACAGAATTTGATAATGGCATATACAAAAAATGGTGGTTAAATAAATGAAGTGTGTTGTGTAGCCATTAGAGGATGGGAGCAATTAGATTTTGATTTGTGAAGTGGGGTGTGGACGTGCTAATCCAGAGCCGGTTGGGGATGCTGCAGGGAGGAATCAAGCCATGCATATAATATGAGAACATTAGGTTGATGTACACAGACGGGTGCATCAGTACAAGAGAAGCAGGGATGATCGATGAACTCCAGGAGGGGAAAATGATGGAGATAAAATTAGGAAATTAGCCCCATTCCAATTGAAAGGAATTTGAGACATTAAAAAAAAAAAAATATATATATATATATATATATATATATATATATATATATATATATATATATATAAACTTTCACTTTGTTTTCATGAGGTTATAGAAATAATTTCTGGCCTCATTTCCAAAATACCCGCATATACCAAAGGTACAGGTAGGAAGGCTATATGTATTCATTGACAGATGTTACTGTATCATGGCCCGGCTGAAGCAGGCCAATGAGGATGGAGGATTATCCCCTGCTTTTTTTCCGGGCCTGACTGCCAGACTCCGTCTCAGACTGATAAATCACCCTGCCCCAGCCCTTCTCCTGTGTTTTCTTTTCAAATGTAGAATCGATGGATTTTTCCTTCATTTCATTGACCTGTGCATAATGGCGCTCTCACTCCTCCACCGCTGGGAAGGAGCCCAGCGTCGCAGACGTGCTTGCCCAGGCAAAGACAAGGCGGCTTGGGCTTTGTGTTGCTTATTGTTCAGCCCGGAGAAATTAATGTGCTGTGAAATTAGCATTTTATCTGACTGCAGATACAGTAATAGAGGCAATTAGAGTGCAGAGGAGAAGGGGCGCTCGGGGTAGAGGAGAGGTAAGGGACGAGCCTAAAACCGCGGGAGCCCAGCGGAGAGTCGCTGATAACACAATCACCTCTGTCTGGCAAGCAACACCAGACTGTCTGCTGGTTAATAAAGAGCACATTTTCCTATGAAATTTCACTCCTGTCGTGTAGATTAGTGTAGAGGAACTACACAGAAGAAAATTGACTGAAATGTAATAGCTTTTAGTCAAATGTTAGCATTAGGAATATCACTGTGATTTTCAAAGCGGACTGTTGTTTTGCTGCATTTTTTAATAAGGAGTTCCACTGCTGACAAAATCAACACCTCAGATTTTCGGAGAGAATGAAATCAATGCACGTTTTGAGCCGACATATTCCTCATCAGTTGCTTTTCAGACATGACATTGTCTGTTTACGGCTTCGGGGCGGTATTGTCGACTCTCTATATCGCATCTCCAGATTGAAATTGATCCCTATGATAGTGAGCTGTGGGCAACGACGCAGACCTTATCAGATGCAGAGGGGCCGCCAGTGTGCTGAGCTGTCACCTGAAGCCTTGTAGATTGTTTAGTTATTCTTCAAAAGATTCTCTGATGTAAAGCTGCAGGGGTGGCGCTAACGCATAGCTGCGTTTAATTATGAGAACTTAAAGAGAATCCGTGCGAGTCTGCTGAGGTTTGCTCGTCTTTTCTTTATATCCACGCACTTATTGAACTTGTGAAGCTATGTATACCATGGATTTATCTAAATACCCTACCAGAGTTTAAGTCAAATATTGACGTAGCTTATAGTTACCAGAGAAAAGGTTTCTTCAAAGTTTGCAGCAAAATTAATGGATAAAATGCTATAGCTTTTGTAATCTAAGTGGGTTTTGCATAACAAGAGCTAAACTGCTGGTGTAGATTCTCAGTCATCAAGTTGTCAGGGATATAATATGTTTCTTGAAGAAGCCTTTTGAATGAGAGGTGTAGCGTCTTCAGGAAATAAGCAAATGAATCCAGTTACATTCTGCGTAAGCCTCAGCTGATTCAGTTCTGTTTTATCATGAACTATTCAACAAAGATTTGAATTATTACTTCTCACTTTACAGTAAATGTCCTGTCAAGTCTCTTTACAAGGTTAATCCATATCGTTAATCTATATCTAGTTACATTAAAACCAATTCAGATTAAGTGTGTCCAAAGTTAAAGTAAGGTTTGTCCAGGAAGTACATACATCCAAACACACAAGCACCAAGACAGAACTGCTTCCTAGGACAGAAAAAAAAAAAAAGCAGACAGAAAGAAAACATATTATTGGCAGCAGTAGTTACATCAATGGCTCCATCCAGTAAAGACCCACAGATAAACTCTGAATCATAGAAGGGAGGAGGGCTTTCTGTGGAAACCAAAGCAAATCAAAACCCTGTGTGTAGTATTAGGCAGGTACAGCCTTATCAACCAACCTGTCCAAGAATGACTAAACACAAAGGTATTGTTCATGACAGCAATTGCTCTGTTACTGGATGTGGGCAGGGAAGAGACATGGTTAAACACTGAGGTCATGATTCTGGAGCACTTTATTTGGGAGAGCAAGCAAAGTCAATGGCTTTAATAGCCCTGTTGGTTACTCTGAACCTTGAGTAATTTCAGTGAGTAAGAAAAAACTGTCAGCACAAATTTATGTCCAAAATTGCTATTGCAGCCCCCAAATAAAGCAGTTAAAAATATATTTAAACACTGAGAATAACACAACATTACTGGCAGCACTTACTGGAAACAATGTTTTAGCGCTTTTTAGCTGAAAATTTAAATTTAAAGCTTTTTATTTCTTAGGTACATTTCCATACTATAACATACATAGCAAAAATGACCCTCACTTGTGTTTCCTTTATTGTAATTCACTGGGGAGATATGGCTTTAATCAACTATAACTGCATGAAAACTTGTTTTCCTTTTTAAAAAAAAAAACTGTTGGGAGAAAGCCAGGCACACATCTCCAGCCAACCCCCCTTTGCCTTTTCTGAGTAAAGACAGCATGACTCCTGCAGTCTGAGGATCACGCCCAATAAGAACATTATCCCAAAGAGTGCAGTGGGCTGGCAAGAGTCTGAGATAATACCCCTTCCTCTTAAACTCCACCAGCTTCTACTCAGAGAATCGAGGCAGAGACAGCGAGACCTTACCAAATGATACCCCACAGCAGCCATGAAACCAATTGTTCCCCTGCCACCTTATGCTTTCAGGAGGAAAGCCAAGGGATGGCCGGGTGTTTGCATAATATCCTTATTCTCAAACATGAGGGTGTAGCCGCCGTGTCCATTAGTGTCAACACACCAATGCTAAATGTGCCTGAGCTGTCTTTTCTTTTTAGCTCCAGCATTTCTCCGTCTTATGTAGATGCTGGTAGTTGGTCCACAGGGTATTATCCATACTGATTGGGAGGCTGCGCTGCCTCTGAGGAGTGGGAGATGGATGAGGACAAGCCACAGCGGTGGGGTGTGTGTATGATTAGGGAGGCGGCTCTGATACCTGTCATCGGCAGCATGTTTATGTGCTAAATGGTCCTGATCGAATGGATGACTGAGACCAGGGCCCCAGATAAAGGAGCAGTCCTAAGTGGTCATTTACAAAAGATTTGGTCTGAGATGAATTACATTGAACAGGCTTAGTTCTGTGTAGGCATTGGCAGGTATGAGATTCTCATT